AATTTCTTCCTCCTTTTGGGGTTCGGAATCAACATACTTAGTTTTTTAGTGAGTGGAGTTAAAGTTATAGCCTTGTTTGATCTACATTTTTAAAAAAATATATGTTTTTAAACAGTGATTTGATATCATTTTAACATATGTTCTTCAATAAAATAATATTACATACAAATTCAAAATTTTTTCTTATTTTTTAACAATACATTTATTATTAATACACTATTTAAAAATTCATTTTTAGAAGAATAATGTGACTCAAGCAAGGGTATATATGAACAACTTGTTACATGTACAATTTTTTTTAAAAATATATTATTAAGAAAATTACAAAGCACGAATACGACGAAATTAAAATAGCAAAAGTCATTTCATTAGCTGAATCCACGATCCTAAGCATTTGACGATTAGAATATTAATTTGATTCTGTAGGGATTCCAATTGGACCTACATCTGATGTACTTTGATTATATGTAGGAGATATGCTAGAAGAACTTGCTTCGAATCTTTCATCCCTATATTTTGTAAGTAAATTCAATATTTCCTAATCATCTTCTCTAAGATTAGCGTTAGGGAGGTGCGGAGAGTGTCCGACTAACATTTACACATAATCATTGTGCATATAATTCGTACGTTAAAGTGTTTTCTAAATTATAATAAGTTATAGGAATATCAAAATTTAAAGAATTTGCGATTTTTCTAATAACATGTTTATTACCTTTCAAATTGTACATGGGGTCCATTATTTGTGCTAAAGAAAATAACATGGTAGGTCTTCCCAATATTTTTTAAACTTTAATTCTATAGAAAATAATATTTCAGTAAAACTAGGATAATTTCTATCTTTGTTGAAAGTTCTTGCAATAACAAAAAGACGTTCAAGAAATTTAGAGCTAGTGTGGTATACTACCCAAGATAAGATATTTGTAGAATCATAAAAATTTGTCAATTTTTTTTAACTTAAAAATCAATTTCTAATCGGCATCAAACAAAACAATCTCGTTATTAAGCCTTGAATTATAAAATCCAGTGATGAATGCTTCATATCATTCACATTATTTGAATAATAAGTAAGTCAAATTCCACTTATACCTTACGTCGGTTACAAATTGTTTGGATTCCATACCAAATGTTGCTCAATATTCTACGAATGCTTGTTTTCTACTTAGTGATATCGTAATATAGACTAATGCATCCCCAATTCTAGCCCCATACATCATAGTTAAATATTAATACTTTGCAAATTGGGACCCCATACATCATTGTTAGCATTGTGAAGAAACTAAAATATTTTAAAAGAATTACTCTTTTATGCATAATCCAAAAGTGGATCTACGTAGTGTACAGTTACAACCATATAAAAAAATTTTATTAATGCATTGTCATATATTTGAAGTGAAAGATATAATTTTGCCAATTTTTTTGTAAATCATGTATTTTTTTATTTTTATTTTTTTGTATGTAATGAAATACTCAATGCAATTGGAATGAAGAGTATTTCTACATATTCCAACATACTTCGGTTGAAGATATTCTTTAACGAACATTGTGAACTATTGATTGTCCATATGCATAGCGACAACTCAGCACGAACAACGAATTCCAACATTCATTCATGACAATATTCTTCTAAATATATCCATGTTTGTAATGTACTAGAAATAGTACCGGGAGAATGACTACTAAATTGCAGTTGTGTTATTGTGTTTCACCAGGTTTGTGTTTGGTTGACACTTCATCTAGTAACGGTTGTGGTGAGTGGTATCAACTCGTTTGTGCCATGTCAATCGTGTTTGACAATATTTACATGCTGCTTTACATTCTTGGACTTTGTCGACTTTATAACCCGTTGAAATCAATTTAAAGTATTCCAACACTTTGTGGTTATTTTACCCTTGATTCTGCAACTTTTTCATCAATACCAACCAAATCAATTGGATGACTACTCCATGAGCTTTGTCAATGCCCACATCTGGCAAATTGTCGGGAATGGGGATGTCGTTGAGGTCGAAAAATTTATTTTGAAATTGAGATTGTGGCGTCGTAGGTGAGTTGCCATCAAACAAGCCCTCGACATAGAAGTTGTGATACATTTTTATATAATGAAATTAAAATGTATAAATGATGAGTGTGGTTCGCTCATCATATTAATGCTAGGCCATCCTGGACATGAACCAGAGAACTCACCCGTGAAGTAAATCATTGCACCTATAGTCCAACCAATTGGGAGAGAATCAATAAATTCCTTTTTGGGTGCGATTCATCCTTCTCGAGAATGATTAGATAATTGGTTTAGATAAATCCTTCTTGAATGAAACCACAACGAAAAAATAACATTGCCTTCACCACCGCAAACCCTAGTAAGATTAAGGCATGCTACGCTTTTTAGTTATTGGGAGAACCCAAGTACTCTCTTTCGGATTCAGAAAACTTGTAGCATAGAAGGAATATGAAAAGATTCTATAGAAATTTTATAAATCTAAAACGAATCTTTCATGATGATTTTATTGAAAAGATCTAAGTCGCAGTATTTATTTTACTCAAGATTAATTACATTTTCTGCATCTGATAATCCACTCCCTTCTTCTACTCTATCCCGAAGAGTAACTAGGATCATTTAGTCACGTTTTCTTCCATTTCATTGATTTTGTTTAGATCCTCCTTTTCTTCCCCAAAAAAGGAAGGAGAAGGATTTTCACTGACCCTAATCTTGATATTTCGTTTGATTATCAGAGTTTTATGGCATTTAATGTGTGTTCTAATATTATTTTATAGATTAGGCAAATTGGTTTGAATGGTATAAAGCTTAAAGAAAAGAGTGATATTGGCATGAATCAAGGAGAAATTGTTGTTGATTTGGTGAAACTTGATGATTGAAGGCTAAATTTGAAAGAAAGAAGTGAATAGCAACGAAAAATTGTGAAATCCAAAGTTTGAGAACTCAATTGCAACTTTTCAATAGTTGATTCAGATTACAAAATGATAATTGAAAATTGTTAGGAGTCATCCAGATGTAATTAGAAGTCAAAAAGGAGTGAAATATGATTAAATGTTCACAAATCAATTCGTAACCCGCACAAGTATGTTCTGTACTTTTAGCTAGAGATTGAGACCAGTTTTTGAAATAGTAACGTTCGAATTGAAAAAAGCCATCGAAGTAAAGTTGTAGCTCTTTGGGTTATCTTCCCAACACATTTTGAATCACCTCAATCGGATATCAGGAAAAGAAATTATGTTAAAAATACGAAAAGATGCGTAATGCTTTTTTCCACTCGAAAGTGGGCGTCGCAACACCACTAATGCTGAAAATCAGTAGCATCACGGCGCCATAACACCACTGGACGGGAAAAAAAGAATTTTGAATTTTTTGGACTCCTTTTTGGCCCAATCAAACCCAAACTCTTCAAAAACTTCAAAATACTATAAATACAAATCTAAAGACCACAATTCAAAGGACAATTCAACCGAGTAAGAAGGGGGCAAGGGTTAAGAAATCAAAAAGGCGACAAATGCAACTTAGTGTAGAAGATTTACCCAACCATCCACGAAATAGTTTTATTTTTCTTCTCTTTATGTTATTCTTTATGAATTGTGTAGATTTAATGGCATCTATCATGAACTAAACTATTCTTTTAGGGTTTTGATTAGCCAAAACTCGAGAGTATGATTTGAATTTATTTTTAGTTACTTCTATGAAATTTTTCATTTCGTTTATTTATGTTATTGATTTTAATACTTTCAATTAATTGGTCATCAATTGAATGAATAAATGCTAGTCAATTTTGATACTTGAGAGAGGTGAATTTAGACACGATCATAAGATTAACACAACCTAAAATTTATAGGTTTCGAAAGACATTATAGATTCTTCGATGCATGTTCCATCTAAGAACCACGATCTTGATAAATCTTGATTTTATTTCGGAATAGGGATATTGAAATTAATTTCTTGGATTAATTTTTACCATGTACTCGAGAGAGGGTGTATAATTATATTAGGATTCTTGCTTATAAACATGAAAAATTTATTAGAGATAATTAGGTTTTTGAATATCATATTTGATAATTAGGTGAAATCATAACCCTAAGTTTTCTAATCTTGTTTATTCTTCTAACTTGCATTTATTTCTTGAATTCGTCACCATATTCATCATTAGATTATTTGAAAACTATTGATCTTATAATTCGATTTTCTAGATAAAATAAGAGTTATTTTGTAACGCTCCGAAAATTTTATATAATAATATTTATTTGTTCTATATGTTATATATTTATATTTTAAAATTGAGGACTAAAATGAAAT